AATTAATACTTTTTTCTCTTATTTTTTATAAAATTTAATAAATTTTAACTAATAAAAAATATATTAAATTTTTTTTTTAACTTCAGCCTTTAAAGCTGAATTTAAAGATTTACAAATAATTTTTTTTATAAAAAATACATAATTATTGTATTAAAGTTATAAAATTATAATAAATATTTTTTAATAAAAAATTATTATTATTAATTACTTATTTTTAGCTCTTAAAGTTAATATTAACAAAAATACTTAAAAAAATATGTTAAGAATATAAAATATGAGACTAACATTCCTATAAATACCTTGCATGATGTGTCATTATTTAATTGGTGGGACAGAATTGAGGATAATCAATGGAGTCACAGGATTTTGATCCTTAACCTTAAGGATAAAACTGGTATCAGATTCCCACCATAAATCTCTCATATTTTCATTCTCAAGATAATGGACTAGTTTACGCCTCAATTTTGATTCCTCCTTCTTTCTAACAATTTTTATATAGTTTCTAGTAATTTTATTTAGAATTTGCTTAATATATAGTATTAAGATCCACTTATTTTTTTAAAAGATAATATTTTTAACAAGTTTTGATTATAATTTTTTAAAATACACTGAAAGTGTAGCTTACTAATATATTCTAACTAAAAAATAAGTGTATGTATTATCACTCATGTTTACTAATTTAAATTTGCTTACTTTTAAAAGAATATAATAATGTGGTATACCTTTAATTTTTTTTAAATATACTAATAAATATAATTAGCTAAAATAATTCCAAAAAATAGATAGATATACCTCGTTTTATTGCGTAAACATCTTTTTTAAAAGCCAATGGAAGTTGTTGGCTCTCTTTATATTTCAGTTTATCTCTGACACATTTAATAATCCTAAGAATATAACTGTTGTTAATGAAACTTTCATTACCCTTATTCCTAAAATTGAGAATCCTGAACATATTAAGAATTTCAGACCTATCTCCTTGTGTAATGTGATAAAATTATAACTAAATTACTTGTTAATAAGATTAGGGAATTTTTACCCCATTTAGTTTCTAATAACCAAATTAGTTTTGTTCCAAAAAGACAAGGTATTGATAATGTCTTTGTCTTACAAGAGCTTATGCATTCTCTTGAAAATTAATTTACAGAAGGCCTAGGAGTTCATTGTTTTTTCAGAAAATAGGTTTCAGTTCCTATCTAGTGAACCTTATTCAGCAGTGTATAACTTCTGTAACTATCTCTATAACCTAGAATAATAGCAATACCTAGCATTTTCAACCTAGCAGAGGCATAAGGCAGGGAGATCCCATATCTGCTTATATTTTTGTTTTATGCTTAGAAAGGTTAGCCCATTTAATACAAGACATGATCAGTGGGCAGGATTGGATTCCTTCCCTTTTAGTAATACTAGCCCTAATATTTCTCTTTTATTTTTTGTTGACGATATAATTTTTGTAACCAAGGCTGACATTCTTCAAGCTAATGTTATTCATAATGTATTAACTGAATTCTGTTTGACTTCTGATTTATCTGTGAATAATGAGAAATCTTCTATTTTCTTTTCTAATAATACCGACCCTCTCATAAGGTAGGAAATTAGTGAATGTCTAGGTATTAGGAGTTCCACTAAATTTGGTAAATCTTAGGTATCCCCATCAATAATAAAAAATTGGAAAGAAGAGATTTTGATTTCATCTTAGATAAAATTAGGAAGAAGCTTGGTTTATGGAAAATGAATACTTTATCTATAGTTGGGAGAGTCACTTTGGCTCAATCTTTCTCTTATTCATTCCTTCTTATATCATGCAAACGATGCTTATTCCTAATTTTGTTTGTAAGAAAATTAATAAAATTTGCAAGAATTTTATTTAGGAATCTTTAAAAAAAAAGGAAATGTCATTTAATTAGTTGGAATAAGATTTGTCAGCCTAAAGCGAAAGGAGTCCTGAGTTTTAAGGAGATTTCTATATTAAATAAAACCTATATGATGAAACTCTTGTGGAGGTTAATCGAATCTCTCAATGGCCTATGGGCCAGAGTAATGTATAAAAAGTATCATTTTCATATATGTAAAAATCCTAATTCAGGAAATAATATGAAATTCATCCACTTATGGAGAAATATAATTGTTGTTTGGGATAGCTTTTGTAAGGGTTTGGATTAGGTTATTAGGGATGGATTATCAGCCAAATTTTGGGAGGATAATTGGATGCCCTCTATCTAGAATTTGTCTAAGTTTGCTCTTAATCCAATTCTTAAGGTGGAGTTGGATTTCCCTGTGATTTTCTTCTCTGATCAAGGGAGGTGGGATTGGTCTAAAATCAACAAAGTTCTCCCTCCTACCATATGCAACTCCATTGCCCAAGTTAAGCCTCCTGACTTAGGCAGAGGTCAGGACCTAGTTTTCTGGAACCTCTCTAATAATGGTCTATTTTCAATTAAATCTGCCTATAGGTTGTTTAATAATCCTGCCTAACAAATAAATCATAATACAAATATTTTTAAAATAATTTAGAAATGGGATAGGCCTCCTAGAATTGCCTTTTTCTTATGGAAAGTGGCTCATGGCATGTTACTTACTAATGAGAAAAGAAGTAAGAGGGGCATGACTAGCTCTCCCCCTTGTTCTAGGTGTGGTACAACCTCTCAAAATCTATAATGTATGTTCTTAGAGATTGTTGGTATGCCAATGAAGTGTGGGACTATTTTATCTTACCTAATAACTGGGCCTCATTTTTTAGCTTAGGCTTGACTGGTTGGCTTTATAATAACCTATCTAATCCTAATCTAAATAATTTTTCCAGTTAGAATTGGCTGTTTGGTTTAATAATCTAACATATTTGAAAAGAAAGAAATAATGTAATATTTCAAAATTCTGTTGTTTCATATGAGTCCTTATATCATTAAATCTGCTATGATTTTGAGTTTTTAAGCTATTATTTTAGGGACAAGCTAAAAAAGACAGCTACTTTATTGGACAAACAAAGGCAGGAAAGATGGTTCCCTCCTCCCCCAGGTCATTTAAAACTTAATGTTGATGGTGCGATGATAAATCTGTAATTAGGCTCTATCTTACAGTCCATATATTCATATTTGACCTCTATTTTATTTGGAGTTTATACTAATTTATATATTAATTATGGAGTTTGGTATAAAGATGTCGCAAGTGAACTTTGGGTGCATTTTAGGCCCAAATTGATGTAAAATTAAAGTTTCGCAGCAGTCAGCATGCCCAGATCCTTTCAACAAGCACGGGGTGCTTCGAGCCCATGCACGGTCGTGCTTAAGGTCTTGTACGGCCATGCTCATATGCGAGAAACCCAATTATGAAGAGTCTTTATTGTTTTCAAATCCTATTAAAAGGGAGACCTGAGGCATCGCGAGGGAAGACTGTTTTACATCTTGGCTTTTGCTCTTTAATACACCCTTTCACCTCGTCTCTCTGCTAAGGAATCTTTGACATATTCTTGGCGAGACTTGGAGTTTCGAACGATCGTACTTGAAGACTGAAAACTCATCTCATTCTAGTTTACTTTTCTCTATGGCCTTGTTTATGACTATTTTAGTTATTTTTTTTAGCATGAGTAACTAAGTTCATAGCTAGGGCTATGAGAACTATCGTTCATGAATTTATGAAATTTTGATGTTTGAATCTAAATTTGATTTCCGTTTTGTAATTAGATTTTATCCTATTGCGCTTCTCTCTTAATTCTAATTAATTATATCGTCAGACAATCGTATCTCGGTTAATTAATAGATCTATAGGGTAAAACGAGACAAAGAATTGGGTAGACCAAACTAATCTTTTTCTTCTAATTGTTATTAAATTAACAAGTTCATAAATTCCTTAAACTTTCTTAAATTGATGTCTTGTATTACCATTGGAGATGTTAATTTAGAGAAAAGAATATTAATATTGTATGATCATTGGGTATTAATAATATTTGTATGAATGATTGGTAATCACAAAGAAATCAGATTTAGAGTTAAACAGAAAAATAACATAAAGGATTAAATGAAAAAATTCATATACCCTAGGTTCCTCTTCGATAAGTTTAACCAAAACGTGCATTGTATTCTTTGCTCCTAGTTTCATAATTGATTTTATAAATTCTTGTTTTAATTAATTTCTTATATTTGAAGTTTAAACAATTGAATTAGGAAATTCTTAGTAATTAGAAATCAATCTTTGTAGAACGATATTTTGGGAACTTAATTTAAGAACTTTTTATTACTTTTCGATAAATACACTTGCCCTTCGAACATGTGGTATCTCATTACGTTGAAATGTGCTGGATGTAGGAGTTTAATTAGAGACAGCCTTGGGAAAGTTGTTGCTAGTTTTTACAAAAGTCCCGATTTTTGCTCCCCCTTAAAAGCTGAACTGTGAGAACTATTTTTTGGTTTGCAACTTATTATACATAAAAACATTAAAGTAATCTGAATTGAATTAGACTCCAAAAAAGCTCTGCAGTTAGTGTCCTCCCCTCATTCCTTTTCTTGGTCTTAATTCTTTAGGAATTAAAAACTTTAAATTGTGTAGATAGTTTTATTTTGTGTAGACTTTCAGCCATATTCAATAGAAAAAAAAATTTAAACTCAAATAGATATAATGATAAATTTTATAATCTTAGTTTAATGTTTTCATAACTTGCTTTTTCATTTAAAAATTCTAGTTTTATAATTCAATTTTATTTAATATAATAAAACTATTTGTCTTTAATTAAAATATTTATTATTAAAATTTATAAATTTGAAAATAATTATATAACATATCTTTAATTTTTTATTTAAAAAGTTGTTTGAATTTAATAACATTGTCCAGTATACATAAAATTCACTGGTTCTTATAAAATTGTCTCGTCATTTTCATTCATCGTTGAACATTCTTTCAATTCTATTGAATAAAGTAGCATCCTTATAATTATTGTGATTGTTAAAACTCACTTCACAAGTCATATACCAAGATTAAGCAAAACACAAAAGTAAAAAGGGTTTCAGCAAACACAAGGAGTTCTTCACCTCAAATTCCAAAGAACACAGTTCTCATATTATTTGAAAATAATGTCACAACTCTCATCTACATTACATGAAGAGAATCTTGACACAAAACTTGTTGAAGAGAACTATATACAAAGACCACAACCAAATACATTGCAATTGCATGCAACCTTCTTCGGCCTTCAGTCTGGGGATGACAATGATTAAATGAACAAATAATAAATCCATTGAATCTTATTTTAAGTTAGGATGCTGCAAACCCTTTATCTCAGAGACCAAAATCGGCCAATATGCCTACAATCAAGTGCCCGTAGTTAATTCCATAGAATTCTTGTATGCACAAAAAAAGATTATGTATGCATGTGTATAAAGAACATGAACCAACCTTTTAAGCTGTAAAAGCTGCTTCAGTTGCTGGTTTAAGCGTTACATTAGTAACATTACTTTGGTCTGTAAAAAAGTGACCAAATTTTAGATATGATTATAAATATAATTTCAGGATGCATAAATATAGATTGAGTAAATACTTATTTTGTAGTAACAAAGATTATAAGTGTCGATCATTTTAATCTCTGACTTTATAGAAATTTTTCTTTAATCCCAAACTTTACAAAATGACAATGAAAAATGAAGGGAAAAAAAAGGATAGACACTTTGAGATTTTTACAAAATTAAAGACTAAAGTGAGATTTTTGTCAAGCTAAGGTTTAAAGTGATTGACACTTTGAGGAATTAAAATATATATTTTCTCAATATGAATTTAAAATAATTTTGCAACACCAAGACAATGTTACATATTATTCTTACTGAAGGGAATTCTTTGCACAAAAAAGCAAGCCCCAATGACAACGTAGCAGAGAATGAGAACAAGGCCTTTCATGTAGTGAGAAGTTCCGTCCTACCAATGAATGATACACCAAAAATGATTGAATCAAGATGCATACCAAATCTAACTGTGGTGTTTTTACCAAAATTTAAATGGTATATAAGCAAACCTGTAATGCGAAGGCTGTGGTTACTATTGCCACAGCAAGAGAAACTGTCTCTAGAAGGTTGAGGTTGAGGTCCATTTTGATTCCCAGAATCCAAGAAACAATTACACATAGTGGAACCTATATTGTAATCAATTTGCTTAATTAAAACTTTCATTAATCCAACAGCATAGCTAAATGGAAACACCCATTTTTTTAAGGTGAAATCTTACCACAAACATGCTAATTTGAGTTGAAGAACCCAAGGAAACACCCAATGTAATGTCCTGCAGTATAGTCAATTACAAGAACTTAAATCACCTGTCCCATTCAATGTTACTCCAATTAAAAGTAACAAGTAAAAAACAATCAAACTAACATTATAAGAGAAAATATATTTTCTAATGTGTCACTTTTCAACTGAAGGGTCTAGGAGTGGGACATGAACTTGAGCAAGTGATTCCAGCAACTTATGTCAAATAAAAAACAAAGTATGGGAATTTCATGAAACTATTAAAGTTCGAACCAGCTTGTTCTTGAAAGCGAATATGATAGCTCCTGCATGTTCAGCTGCATTGCCAACTATTGGCAGTAAGATTATGCTCAGGAAACTGATAGACAAGCCCCATGAATCAGATGCATCCTGTTCAGATTCACATATTTCTCATTAAAATGGAAGTCTACTTCATTTTCCTTGGGAAAAGCATTATTCCACAACCTTTCCAATAGAAGAAAAGAACTTTTTCATCCCTGGAAAAAACAAAGCCAATTACCTCAATTGTTTGCACCACATATTCAGACAGCAAGGCAATGAGTACAGTCATCCCGACCAGCCAGGCAATTGCACTCCAGAATCCTATCACTGCTTCTTCTGAAGCATTGTCACCCTCTTCATCATCTTCCTGCAACATGATGGTCATCCATTACAAATCAAATTTCGGCACAAATCAGAATCACACTTAGCACCATCATTTCATAATCACATGAAACATACATCTTGGGCTTCAAATAGTTTCCGGTGAGTCCACAACTGGAAGATAAGGTAAGCACTATATGCAGTCACCATAACAATGCTAGCAGCTCTTGACAAGTGCAGTGATGAGTCTGCAGTGGCACCTACTGAGGCTCCACCATAATGAAAGAGCATTGGAAGCAAGTGGCATAACAATGCCACAAACAGCATAAGCAAGTTCATATCTGCTTGTCTCTGAAAGAAAATTCCAAAACTTTCAACCCCTTAACACTAGTCATTCTTTCACTATGAAGGAAGACAAAATAACCAAAACAATGCAATTCATAGATAAAATTCTGAATGGATTGCAGGGTCTTACTCTATCATATTTCTGTTCCTGTCTAAGGTTTGCAATGCCACCACAGAATAGAGAGGTTCCAAGAACCAAAAGAAGGTTCGAAAGGATGGAACCCAGGAGAGAATATTTGACCACAGCAATTTTGTTGTGGCTAAGTGCAAAAATTGCTATGATGAGCTCTGTAACATTCCCACATGTTGCATTTAAAAGTCCTCCCACTGTGATTCCAAAAGAAAGGCTTTAGTAACATGGCAATCAATTGTACTCCAACAGTATCTAAAAGCTTTATTTCTAATTCAAACACTCATTTTTATCCCAAAACATTTGAGTAACGACAAAACTAAGGAAGAGAGATTAGGAAGTAAACTCCTTGGAAGATTTGGAATCAATCACATTAGGCCTCTAAAGAAAAATATCACAATTTTCGTTCGTGAAAGATTAACAGCCCTGATTGGTTTGTAATAAGAATAAAAAAACCACCGAGTAAAAATTGATTGACAATCTAAATTCACCATCGATTTTTTACTTTGAAAATTCCGTTCAATTGAGCTATGCTCTTTAAGTCAATCACTGTAATCCCTTTTTTATATGAATTTGAAACCTTGAGAATAATTAAATTGATTGATATTTTTATCTTTAAAGAATAAAAACAATAATTTTCATCTTTCAAAATCTGACGTGACTGACTCATATTTTCAACACTGAAATATTGATTCACTTCCAATTATGAACAAGCATTGGTGTTACTTTACTGCGTTTTTGGTAATACACTGACATTCATTTTTAGTCCAAGTTTAAGGAAACATTGACTAGAAAAGTACATTGACCTTGTAAAGTACTTTCAAAAAAATATGATTTAGTGTAGTTGCGGATTCGTACACACCTGTGGGACCTGTATAATAAGCCACCTGCCTGCCATGTTTGGAGTGCCAAGTACCAAAAGCAGCAAATAAAACCAGAATCAGCGTACAAACAGAAAAGGGAATTAGAAGAAAAGCTTGCAATGATTATGACTAATGTACGATCCAACAATAAAGAAGAAGAATCCTATCAACACACTTTTGGAACTACTCTTTTAACACATCTTTTGTAATTAATTAATATTTTAAAATTTTAATGTAATCTTTACAAGGTGATTCAATTATATAGAATCTGTCGAAGAATATATTCAATTGAGTGTATCCGTAACATTTTTCAAACAAGAATGGTAGAAGCATGTCATGGTTTCCTTACTCTGTCAAGAAGCTGACTCGTTCGGCGAGTGGGGTAAGCCCAAGTAAACTCAACGCAAAAACCCAAGGCTGTACGCACATAAAGAGAGTAGTCACATAAAGAGAGTAGTCTAAAATTTACAGTTTTCTCCATAAAATAAATATTACAGTTTTCTAAAAACATAATATTTATGCACATTTTTAATAATGTCACGAGATACTTTGATTTTAATCTTTTTCCTTTACTCCAAAGGATTCCCACAGACAGAAACCATCTCTCTATACATTGTTATAACACTAATTACGTGTTTAGTAGAACATAGTTGTAAAAAAATTAGTACTTAATTTTAACAACTTTTTAAGAAAAAAATTTAAAAAATTAAGTTATTACATTCCAAAACTAATATGTTTTCAAACAAGTATTAATTATATTAGAAATGATTGTCATGAAATATTTTTTTTAATAAATAAACTAAAAATAGATAACACCATGACTGGATAAGAAAAAAAAAAAATAGATACCACTATTTTGTGTAAAATCAAATTATGAGAGCCGTCATTATCGGTTCCACCATTAGAGGGGGAAAAAAAGTAGGAAAATTATTAGTTGACGCAATCAAATGAGAAGAGGAGGGAGATATGAATAAAAAATGTAATAAAAAATAAATATAAGAAGAGGTAAGCGTAGAAATATACTAATTAAAAAAAAGTACTTGACCAAAAATAATAATTATTAAACAAACAAGAAACGGTGCAATGTGGAAACTCACCCGAGCAAAGCCAAAGCATTGAGCAACGACGGCAAGAGGAATAGCTGGGAACAAAACAGAGAGTTTGGTTCCAAGAATAACCTCTTGGATGTTAACGAGGATGTTTCTAAGGAGACCCGAACGAAGCTTGGTGACAATAGTGAGGTCAGATTTCTTGCGCATTGAAGATGATGACATGTTATGTGCTGTTCTTCCATGTCTCATTTCCTTGCTCAACCCCTTGTGGTTAACGTTGTTATTCCCATTCTCCAAGAGCCATGCTTCTTGGTTTCGAGAACCCATTGATTTTTTTCTTTTAACGAACTGTAGCTAGAGCTGAACTCGTGTTGTGGGGTAAATGACAAAAGCACAGTGAAGATGACTACAATTTGTGGCACTGATTATGTTATTGTAGTAAAGAAGAATTATATTATATTTATAAATAAAATATTAGGTAAGGAACAAGGAAAATGAGGTGTGTCAGCGAGTATGCAACTTCCAGGAAGGTTCGTATTTTCCATTTATATTTACAGTAGCAAGAAAGGGAAATATGTTAAACAAATTGCCAATTAGGAAGTAAAAAATTACTTTTACGTTTTCAATATATCTATTAATTCATTTAGATTTGATAGGAATTCAAGTGCTTAGAAATTGGTGGGAATTTTCTATAAAATTTAGTATTACTAAAAGACGAGTATTTTTAAGTTTAAATATAAATTATCATAAAAAAAGAAAATTATTATTTTTTTGTTATTAACAAAAAAATCTTATTGTATTAAATTAAAATTTTAATATTATAAAAAGAATTATTCTAAATGAATTATTGCATTAATGAAAATGACAAAAAATTTGTTATGGACAAACGCCGATTTTCGCTCCGTAAAATTGTAAAACTGGTTGTAAAATCATATATTTATACAGAATAAATTAAAGTAATTATAAGTATGCTTTATTTAGAGAAAATTATGACAATGTTTACAATTTTTCTTCAATATATTTACTTTATTTTGCAAAACTACAAGTTATTTTATTCATAACAGTATGGGATATTTTAAGTTTCACATATTATTTTAATTTTTTAATATAAATACATTTAAATTTGATTTATAAAATAAAACGTAGTTGAAATATTCTTATAAAAAATAATATAATTACGTTAAATATGTTTGTTAAATGAATAAAAAATACTTATAATTTCTAAAACAAATGATCTTGTTCAAAATTTAAGAATTATGAGTTGATTATGTTCATTTCTTTCTTGTTATATTTTTATATATTTTTAATTTAAATTTATATATGTGTGTATGTAAATATTCACGTGTAATTTAATATTTATATGTAAATTGTGTAAACAGGTTAAGAAGAAGTAAAAATGTCATTCAATTAGTTCATTTCATCTTGATATTATAACATTTTTATGGCATAAAAAATTATATAAATTTTATTTATTATTTTCTGCTTTTTGTCATCTTTATTTTAAGAACAACTTTAATTCACATTTAGTTATATTTTGATAATTTTATTTTAAGCTTTAAATGAAACTTTTATAAAATTAAGGATATCATACACTCGTATTGACAATTAGAAAAAAGGAGAAAGAAACAATTATCATGTTTGACTAATTATTTTGTACTAATATTGACATTAAAACTTTGTAAAATGTTATTATTCTCAAAATAATTTTTATTAAAAAAGTAGTCTATGACACACGGTGTTTGGCAAGTAATTAAGGCCCTGATTATTTAACGTTAGGATCCAAAAAATATATTTACTAGTAATATTTAAAAAACATTGAAAATTGTATAAGTATTAATTAATAAATAATATTATCTTATTAAAATTAAATATATGGTTTTGTATGAATAATATTAGACAAAAATTATTTGTTTTTGTCCTTTTATTTTTTCTAATACCTGGTAAATAATAATAATTTAGTATTAGTAATTTAAGAAAATTATCAACAAATCTATCCCCCTATACGTTGTTTTTCTCCCATACAAAACACCTCATTTTCATTTTCTCTTCTTTCCTCTTATTAATTATTACTATCATTTGTTTCTGCATATATATGTTTTCGAAGTAATGTTAATAATTTTAGTAACTGTTATTTGAGAAGAAAAAATGTTTCTAAAACCAAAGACAAGTATTTATTCCTTTTATTTCAAAATTTTGTCATTTTAATAGTTTTGATTTGTTTCAAAATTTTATCACATTAATTTTTTTTAAAGTATTACTTTTTTTAATATATATATATATATATATATATATATATATATATACTTATTTATTGATATCTCACATAAATGATTAATTTATTTACAGCTATTATTACCTCTTTTTGTTAGAGTATTTAGTCAAATAAGACTATTTTATCATAGTAATTGATATAATTAATAACTTTTACAAACAAGTATATTGCCTTAATTGACAAAAAATTTGGAATATAAAGAGTACTAGAGAATAACAATGTAAATAAGAAAGATTAAATATGGGGCGAAATAAAGAGAGGGAGCTACTTTTTTTTTCTTTTGTTTTAGGTGTTTAAAAAAAATTATTCTTATTACATCAAAAATTAAAATATAGTATAAAATTATGATAAATTTTCAAAATTTTAATTTAATATTTAATATTTAAATTACTATATTTTTTAAAAGATTGTGTCATTTCTCCTAACTTTAGTCTAAATTAAACTTAAAAATAATGACACTGTTAAAGGGTCGAATGTAGTTGAATCAATAATAATTAACTAATATATTTAAAATAAATAAATAAATAATATAAATTAATATTAAAAATATATTATTTTTAGTTTCACATAAAAAATAAAAATACACCATTTGTAAATAATTCAAAATCATACATAAACCCAAATTAAATATGGTATAATATTTAGATTCAACTGCAACAAAAGACAAAAATATTCATTACTAATAAAAACTTCTAAATATTAACTCTAATATAATGTCACTAATATTATTAAAAAAATTTAAGTTGAATGTATTATCAATATAATTTTTTTACACTATTAATAAAATAAAATTTGTAATAATAAAATTTAAAAATAATAATTTTATTAATATAAAAATATATAATTATATAATAATATAAAAAATTTTATACTATCAGTATATTTAAATTAAATTTTATTATAATACCATGATCATTCAAGTTAAATAATCATAAATTAGCATCTTTACTTGTTTCACTACCGTCGAAGTTTTCAAAGAAGAAATTCATTGGATACTATACTAACATTAATTGTTTTGCAATTTTAATTTCTTTATTAAACACTAAATAAGGAGAAATATAAAAATTTAATCGTTGTAAAAATTTAAAAATATTATTTTTATTTTCAATTAATATGCTAAATGCACTTATCAACATTCTTTTTAATAGATATTCAATTTTATTAATAAATTTTAGAATTAATTATATATATATATATAATTTTTGTAAAATTTTATTTTTCTAATATTTAAATTTAAAATTTTCAATGATATTTTAAAGTATAAAAATTTAATATTTTTTACAGTATTAAATCAATAATTATGATTATTTAAATATTTTTAAAATTAGATATTTATATTTTTTAACATGACTTCTATTATTTATTATATAAAATATCTTTTTAATTTTTAAAATATAATAAAAATGACCTAAAATTTTTTCCGAGTGGATAAGGTCCAAGTACCCAAGAAAGTACAAGCAGATATGCATTGTACGGTCTGCAACATATTGCACTTAGCAACGTGGAAAGGGCGACAACACACCGTACAATAACTCATAATGTGCATTTTGCTTTTCTTTTAGAAATTATTATTTTGACATCTCATGGACATATATATCCAAAAATTGACGAGAAAAAGAGAGAGAGAAATAATAAATGTATAAAATATAAAAACATTAAATAAGTGTTAAAATTATTATCTTGTTCGCTAATTATAATTTTTTTTCGTTTATTCTCTTTTTAATTGCTTTTTGTCCATTCCGATGGCGGTAAAGTTTTCTAAAAAACTAGAATGTCCATTTTTAACAAAATATAAAAATTAATTTGACTTTGATCCTGTTATTATTTATAAATATAATTTTGATTACGTGCATTTAACCGTAAATTATTTTTAGCTTGTGATTTTGAGATGCATAATATATTTAAATGATGTCATGTCAAATAAGTACTGAAATTAAAAAAAACAACTAAAAATTTAATTATATTAATAAAAACTAAAAATGTATTTTACTCTCTTAATTTTTATGTTTGTATTAACTAGAATGCGAAAACTCTTAAATATATTTTTGTATAAAAATGTATCTCTTGTAATTTTCACTTAAATTATGATTTAAGAATATTTAAAACCATCTATTTTGATTTATAGAAATTTATAATATGTTAGTTTCATATATCATTAAATAGTGTATATTATTAGTTGTTTATAAATTTGTATCTATTTTAAGTATTAATTTATTAAAATTTACGATTTTTATTCAGATATATTTGGCTCAATTGTTTCAGCCACTTTATTTATCATTTTTAAAAAAAATTATTTATTGAACTTTTAAAAGAATTAAATTTATGAATAATTTTTTTTGAGTAGGTTATAAAAAAAATAGAATTACCATTTGAAATAAATTACATTTTAATAATTAAAACCAAACAGAAACAATTTTTTTTTCATAAAAAAAATTAAAAATAAATATTTTCTTATATACACTTTTTTGAACTTAAACAACTTGCCCATTTTAATTAATTTTTTTTTGTTTATGATTACTCAAGGTAAAGATAAGAAAATTAAAATTTACATACCCAAATTATATTTACATGCTCTTCTTTTTCAACATCACATTATAAGAAAGGAATAAACTTAATTCTCCAAATGGAATTGTGTATATCTATAAAAAAAAAATAAAAATTGAAAGATTAAAGAACTGACAAATTTCTCCAAGAATTAATTCATAAATATGATCATGCCTCCTCTCTAGTATTTCTCCTCTTATATTTTTTCTTAGTGATTGAATATAAAGTTCTTATTTTAAAATAACTAACATCTTCAAGATTTTCTCTTTTAAACCTAACATATATGTTGTGTTTTATTGCAAATCTTTATGTAGACAGTCTCAAGTTCACATTAATAGCAATGGTGGGTTATGGATGTAAAACTTGTCAAAGTCAAAGCTCAATAACATGAATCAATCAAATATCGTTGTATGATCTTAAAACTTAAAAATGAAAATAAAATAAGGATATATAACTGTTACTTTTTCGTGCAAAATCAATTCATATGAAGCAAAAAATATAATTTAAAAAGCCCTACCCTTTTTATTCATTTTTGTACTATGATTAAAACACATGAAACTGTTAACATTTGTTTGTGAAAATTATAAGATTCATCTGACAAGAGAGTGTTTGGAGG